TTTTTTTGTACGAAGCAAGCTATAAATGAAATATGAAGTGAATTAATAAAGGAAATAATTCACTTTTACGTTTACGACAATTACTATTTAGTATTGTTTATTTAAATAATCGATGTTATCATTAATTATCGTTGATTTCCGGACAATCACATGATCATCCGGAGCACAACCTGGTACAAATTTCGATTTGCATTTGTTATGTACCCGGGTATTTTACATTCACAAATGCAATTAATCCGTCCTCTGTATCTGAGGCACTTTATATTCTAGGCCTCCGAAAATCATGAGGAGTATTATAAAAGAGGTCTTTTGGTCTATGCTGTACAGTGATTTACGACTAAACGTAAGTGTAAAAAGCAGAGAATCAAGAATTCGATAACAGTAAGTAGGTTAGTAAAGTGATAAATTGTTCAATTCTTAAATGTATATGTGAAAAATACATACCTTTGAAATATTGAACTTAGAATAGCCAAAATGAACGAATACAGTCTTAAATCCTAGCTCAAATATATATTTTATCTTCATAAGTGCACTTTTTTATTATTCTCCAAGCGTTTCTTATAAAAGTTGAGTCTTTATAAAAGTTACTTAAAGAGTTTTAACTGTAGTACAATTATAATTAATTTAAGAATTATTATAATTTATCCAATAGGATTAAGACTTAGCTTCTTTTTTTTTGAAATAACATTTGTATAAGTTATTAAACATCGTATTTAACTTTCTTAAAAATATATGAAATTATGCAGACACTCAGTACTAACCATTTTACTTTCATATGATATAATGATATGGTCAGAAATTAACATTATTGTTATTTAATAATCTAGAAAGGATAATTATCTGACCACACACATCTAATTTACAAAATTTTTTTTTATCATGTGTCAATAGACAAAAAGCTTTATAGTATTCAGTTCAGAAGATTGCGACTCAGTCACTCCACAATCCAATATCTTGCATAACGTATGATAAGTAACCTTTTCGAAAGAGGGTGTTAGATTTGGCTGGTGGGTGATTAAGGCTTTCGGTTACTTGGATTCAACGAAGGTCAGTAGTGTAAGTCACGTGAACACGAACGACGATGTTTATAGGGGATTACAGGGTTTATACTGGATATAGTGTTAGGGTTTTATTATGGATGATACAATGTATTAGGACTTGTTATTTAATAAAGCAAACGAGACATGTCGTCCCTTAGGGCCATTTCGGCCTTTATTTATATTATCTTTCTAACTATGACTTATTTAATTACATTAATCTCATTCCTCTATTTAATTTGACTCCTCTAATTTATCCACCTAAACCCTTTTACTTAATAAATTCCCTTTTGCTAATAAATCCCCTTTCTCTAATAAATCTCACTTTCTTGATAAATTTAATTAATCGAATTAATGTGATTAATTGCCGAGATATCTATATCAAGGAATTGATCGTCGTACTCGCTCTCACGTGAGACTCCGGCAGAGTACTTTCGTCACGTTATTGGATCTAACACCAGTTAATGAAAGTTTTTTTTTATGTGAGAAATTTACTATTGTTATGGATAAATCCGACCCCAGGACCATGAGGAAACATGCATAACGACCCACGAAATGCACCATGAAAAACCGTCGTACCACGATGCCCGCGACCCAGGATAAATCAGGTTCCCATTAAGTGACAGCGCCGATCCCATTGAAGAAAGCCACCCGCCCGATATGGAATACATCTGTCAAGGTAATATTACCTTGACAGGTAAAGTATGTGGCCGTGTCAATGCGTCGTCATATGTTGGGTTGTGTGTCGTTGTGGAAGGAATCAAAGTTCAATGAAAAATACTAAAGTAACGACGGATGGGTTATAGGAAAAAGGGTAAGACGGCATATGACAATGAGAAAAAGGGTGTCAAAGCCGTGTTCGAAACTCCCTTCTTGTTCCCTTGCAATTCTTTATAAATATGGTTCGAATTCCCCCTCTTGTAAAAGAATTGCCTGGTATCGTATCATAATAGAAAACCGAATCACCTTTTAGTCCTTAGACCCGCCCTAAAAATTAAATAAAAACGTTTAATTAGTCAAGTTCTAAATAAATAAAACAGATATAATAAACAGTACATTCCTTTAACCCGTATTACATTACATTCGAATCCTCTTGTAACGTTCTCAAAGGCCGCCTTTGACCAGTGCCAAATCGAAACCGCCTCACCTGCTTTTGAGTGATGTTACGCGAAGTCAACGTTTCCGAAGCGACAATTCGTCGCATTCCTTCTTGTCCTAGTAGTGCCGTTCCCGACCTTATAGTCCGTATCACTATATAAATAGATATATTTTTTTTAGGGTCCGTATTATTTCACCGACAGCTCATTTAACTGACATCATACCAAGCGACAGTTTACTAAAAATATATACCAGTAAATAATAAAATGCTAATACTAACCCTATGTGATGTCGGTCAAATGAGTTGTCGGTGAAATAATTGTCGGCGAAGTAAACGGCACCGTTTTTTTTACTATTATGGCTTCTATTGAAAAACATAGAAATTTCGCAGAACAAATTCATACAGGGTTAAGATACATTAACATTTACCTGCATAGAATAAGGTGAGAAATTACTAAATAAATTTTCTATCATTATGTGTGAAGTTACACTGACATTAGGGTGATATCAGAGAACTGAAAGCTTATCATGGTCACAGGTGTACCTGTGCACATTCTTCTATGTTATGTTTAATCTAAAAAACTTGTTCTAGCCTAGCATGGAAGTTTGTAGTGAATAGGATGCATTAGTAGACCAATCAAGGCATCAGGGATTGATTACCTTGACGATAATAGTGAAATTTATTTAGAATTTTTTTTTTCTTTATAGAATGCTTGATTGCGATGAAAATGATATTATTGACTTAATTGGTATTCATAATAAACATTTAACATTAGTTCATTGTAACGCTGATGAAACTTAAAAAAGAGTAACAATTGAAGATATCAGAAAACTCAAAAAAGTAGTTTCAAATATAGGAGAACTTCTTGATCAATTTTATACAATTGAGTTTATACAGTTTAGAACAATTTTACTCTCTAACATAATAAATTTTTTTTAAAAAAAATATAACTGCTGTTTATAATACTACAGAAGATTTTCACAAACAAAACTTTACGTATCTTATGTATCTCTGAGATTCACCTTACTTTGGTATACCTTACTTAAAGACAGTTTTTAAGCTAGAAAAATAATAACATACAATAAATATATGTTTTAAAACTTCTGATTAACTCACAAAAAGCATAACTAACTTGTTTAAAAAAAAAACTTAAAAGTAATATAGTGATTTTATAATAATATTAAAATAGATTACAATATTTGAAACTTTATTTAAATACGAAGAAACATTTGGTAAGTAGCTTTATATTTGAAGTTTTTAGTATTATTTAAGGGCGTAATAAAAAAAAAACAACTTTTTTTAATAAACAGGTTTTACATTATTTATTTATGATTTATATTTAAGATAGCCTTATTATGTATTATGAGAGATTATAACTCTATCATTTAATGTTTGATGAGAAATTTTCATTTATTACAATTTTATATGACGATGGGATGTATATTATAAATTTTCTGTCAAATTAAATCATATTAAATCGTTTTAACCTACTTCTAATATTTAGTTAGTACATATACAAAATCAAATATTACTATATTAGCATCGTTTTAACAAGTGAAAATTTTGATTGGTCAGTTGTCACATGATATGCAAAGTACTAATCATGATACGTACGACGTTCAATTTACGTGATCAACGATATATTAGTGAAGCAAAAATCACCCAAAATTTTACTAATGAAATGGTAGTCCACGTACGTACTAAGTAAAGCTGTCTAGATGATAATTTGGCTGTAGTATAGTTGGCTTGTATTATTGCTTAGTGCCGATCCAGCTTCGGGCCTATTCTAACCCAAAATTTTGGTCGATCTGCCGCACTACTAATCTATTCTAGCAGTAGCAGCTAATATTCTGTAGTAGCAACAATGGGGGTGGAAATAGCCATTCTCTTAAAAAAAATTATAATAATTTGGACTACTATATAAAAGCATACTATTTATAAATATATATATTCAGAATTGCATGAAATAATATGATATAATTTTTTTCTTGTTTTTACATAACTTATCTTTATATACTAAATTTTTAGCATGAAATGTTATATATAAATTGACCTTTTTAATTCTAATACTATTTGCCCCTAATTTCAGATCTTAGTTCGCTTATAAAATTCCTTAATATTAAATAAATTGAAATTTACAAAACTTAACAGCTAATAGAAAGCCTCAAAAATCTATCTGCTATACAATAATGGCTTGGTTCCATATCAGTATAGTTTACGAAATCTGGTATTGGTATGACAATGAGAAATGGGTAAAAGTCCTTTTCCAGAACCTACCCTTTCTTTTATAAAATGTTAAAAGAAATACAAGTTTAATTAAAAAGTAAAATGTTAAAAAGTAACAAAAACAGATTGTTTGTCAAATTTGTAAATTATATAAAATTAGCTGGTTGTGTAATAATAAAGAATATAATAAATAATGTCATATAACGTCCCATGATGTCTTACATCAAAGGATAAAAAAAAAAATTTTACAAACTTTTACATTGTTAGTTAAACCCCGGATAATTATGATCGAATAAATAATAATAATAATGTCAATAATTATAATAATGTCAAGTATAATTGTGATAATAATTGCCTCTTTTGGCCACTGAAGCTGTTGAGAATTTGAAGAATTTAACGTAGTTGAATAATTTTCATCAATAAAAGCAAAATTATTGGCTGAAGCATCTGTCACAAGATTTATGATGTCCGTCCATGAGCAAAGAGTCATGTTGTATACTAACATCATATTAGATGTATTGCCTATATTAGGAGAACTTGAATTTTGATAAGTAACGCCTCCATATATCTGTCAATTTAATATCATGTAAATAAATAGCATGAGATATAAATATCAGACAGAACAAAAATTTCATTTACCAATACTACATCTGATCCAGGAGGTTGGACCCCTGCTGCATGAAGTCGAGCTTAAGTAAAATTTTGAATTGTTATATAGAACCTTTCAAATTTTTGTTGGACTATATTAAGAGGAATGATACTCATCTGTCTATTCTCAAGATAATCATTAAAGCTAAGTACAATAATAAACATATAATCGCCAACAACGCCTACTACCGAATGAGCAAAAGCAAAGAGAAGTTGATAGCCTGGTATAAGAATTTGAGATCCCGTAACATTATAGATATATGATAAATACATCGGTACCCCTTCCACTTTGATTGAAGTGTTTGTATTAAGTTTGTCTATGCCACCGAAAATGAATACTCTTTCCCTTGAATGAGCAATTCCAACAGAGTTTAGGACAGTCATCATCTATATAAAGTGTTCAATTTATTATGTTGATTAATAATTAATAGTTAATATAATACTTATATTAGAAGGGATCAGTTCCCATTTCCATGGAGTTACTGTCATATTCAGCTTATAAATAACACTGGTTGTAGAATCATAATGTCTTCTGTCCCAGATGAGTACAATTCCCAGTTTAATCAAAATGGATCGAGGTTGGAAAATTCTGATACTGATTTTCTTAGAATATCCAATTAAATTTCATCTTCGTTCCAATCGTTCCAAACATTCGAGTTAAAATTGTAAACTTGAAATCCTTTATAATTTTGAGTTGCTGCCATGGACCCACCAATCACTAATAGTAACCCCATTGAAGATTCTACAATACATGACATATCGCAAACATTAATTACATTAGTAGTATCAAGAGCTACCCATGGTATTGAAGAAATAGACAGAATCATTATATGTGACGAGACAGTGGCATTCTCTTACTCCTAGGCTATCGCTGACTACTTGATTCACAAACTCGAGAATCAAGAAAATTATTAGTGAATAAGAGTTTAGAAAAAACATTATAAAACTTTTAAGCTGGCAAATGTAATTTGTAAGAAAAACCTGAAACAAGACAGTTAATATAAAATAGGTTCTGAAAACTATTAATATACAATAAAATAGTACGCATACAAAATTGTTATTCATATCTGCTGATTCTTTAAAAATGAGCACAAATCTTTGAAGTGAATGACTTTTGATACACTATTCAACTTTGAATTAATTTATTACAAAAAAACCGCATTAATGAGATGATTAGCTCAAAATCACCAAAATCCAATCATCAAAATTGGCATTTATTGCAAAACTATATATTGAGAAATTTCAGAATCTTATTTTTAAAATAAGTAGAAACTTAAATTAGATTATCTATTTTATTCAAAATCAAAAACTCAATTATTATTTCTGAAACTCTGACATTAATTTCAAATGTTCTTTAGTACTTCATCTTGCATTGAGTAAATTTGATAGAATATATTCTAAAGCATCTATCTCAATGAGCTCAACAAAAAATCTGGTTGGTCTGTCTGATAAAATCAATTAAATCAGATCCTTGAGCTTATTGAGGTGAATAATACGAATTGTGGTGTATGGTTTAGTAAATGGTGTATAATACTATAAAATTAGCAAACACGTAGTTAATAAGGTCACAACTAGAGGTGCAGACGAAACATCCCCAATGATGTTATGGCTTAAGCCATAACTAGCTAAAGCTTATGTCATAACCAATGTGTGAAATTCAATGTTCTCACTGTTCTTCGAGAACACTAATCAAATTTTGACATAAATTAAAATATGTTCTCTATCTGAGAATATTAAATAGATTTTTTTTAATATTATACAGATTTAATTTTTTTATATTGAGAACATTAACAATTTTTGAGAACTTTAAGGACTTAAAAAATGTTCTCAGTGAGAACATAAAGTCAAAATTGAATTTTACACACAGGTAATAACTAGTTATGACAACTGCTTCGCATCCAATAATAATTACGGTTTGCAAAATTTGCAGATCATAAGAAATTAACGTATATGTAGCGTGGACTAAATATCCAAAGTGCTTTTACAATTTAAGCTGTATATGTGGTATTATAGTCGGAAAGATGCTATTGTTAGTGTAGGGGATATAAAATGATTCCCTAGATTTAGCAAATCTTGTTAAAATACTATTACCAATTTAATAAGCCTATATCTTTAAGTGGGTGTGAGGGAAGTATATTACATTTCAAGTGCTATCCTTTTCGATAAGCCTGTTTCTGTCTATGATACCTGGGTATAATACATTATAGGCCTCTAAAATCGGGATGGGTATTATAACAGGGGAGCCTTTTAGTTCATGCTATACAGTACTCGATTGTTAGATGATTCTTGATTTCTTAAAATTACTTCGATGTGAAAATTTCATTAAGATATTCGAGTACTTTTAAATCACTATCAATTGTGTGATTTCTGCAAACAGCAATAATTTGTGGTTTTTGTGGTCCGTATTTAAGATAGTTTATTATCAGAGTTGGTCAAATCACTGGTCAACCAAAAATTTGTTGGTCGAACTGGTCTGGTCAAATTGGTCAAATGGTCTAGCCTATTAAATAAATAATTTAAATATACAAATAAATACAAATATATTTATATAGTTTATATATTATTTGCCAATTTGACCAATACTAAACTCTTTGACCATCTGGTCAATTGGTCAAACTGGTCTGGTCAAGCTTGACCATTGACAGGTCCATGCCAACCCTAGGACAAACCTAGAATATATTTTATGTAAGATGTAAAATGACTCATACAGGACAAATTTAAAGTTTAGATTTTAATAATCGCAATGTGTAATATAAAAAGAATTTTAATATATTTACTCATTTTTTAAAATGTTACATATCAAAAGTTACTGAATGTTAATTCTTTTTTTTATTTACACAACATCATATGATTTACTTGCACAAAAAAATAAATATCAGCATATTATGTAAATGTATATCTTCATATATTTATATATTATAACTAGAGATGGGAAAATCAAGGTTTTTTTGAAACTATTGCGCAGCCTGCACAGCCTATACAACCTCAGTCCCTAGAGACTTTTACTCATTAGGTTTCGCGTTTATATATATAAAACATCTACTTCATATGTGTAA